GTACAACTCAAAAAATAGATTGGACGCACCCGAAAAAATCCACACAGAAATCCCTTCGCAACATCTGGCAAACGCGGTTTGCTTTGAGGGAACTTGTTTAAATGGTCTACTCGTGTGATTGCTGGTTTGCTTGCATCATGCGCGTTTTCCTCTCTTCCTTGCCTTCTCCTGCTGATTGGGTGTGGAAACATGATGACAAGTTGGTGTGTGCAATGAGTCTACCCACCAGGGCGGAAATCCACGCACAGCAAATTGCAAATAATTTTGTAACTTGCTCATATGGGTGTTTTTCTTGGTTGAATTCAAACACTGGCTAAGAGTCTATTTCATGGCAAAGGGGTTGCTTCTGACTAACCTTCACATACCCAGGTGTTGATTGTGGCTGTCAGCGGACCGGCCCAAACCATGTTGCCAAGAAACATAGGGCTGCTTGCAATTCCCAAATTGGAATTGCAATCAGGGAATCTCCTATAAAAAAGGCTCATCATGGGCGAGCTCGGTTTACTTCCAAGTGAGCTCGTTGTAGTTTGCCCAGGGTCTATCTCGGAGCTCCTTATTCAACAGGATCCTTGGGGGACCATTTCTGGGAGTCCCCTCTTAGGGCCCCTCACAAACACAGGAACAAAGGGTTGCCCGTGGGTTAGTTTGTGGTGACTAAAAATCTGCAGCAACTCTAGCGAAACCGAGGTGGGCCGGCTGGGGGTTCCACCATTGGGGCTGCCCTGTGGGAATCAGACCGTCAGAATGCAGCTGTTTCAATATGGGCAAAAACCGAAACGGGCATTTTTGCCCTTTGAACCTACCACGAAAACGGAGTCATTCCCGGCCAAGCCCCACCACACACCCACCCGACCCACCCCAAACCCCCAAAATTGTGGTCTCCTTTTTGTTTACCTTTAAAACCACTCCAAAAGAGCACCCTTTACAACGCACCCTTTGAACTTTTTCCAAACCCTGGGCTTCCCGGCGGAAGAGGATGCCTGCGCCGTGGTCTTCATCAAGGTGGAGCAGCGCCTCGGGACGAGGTGCCAAAGCTTTGGGAGGTCATCACTGGAGGGGAAACCTGGTACGCACGGGACGAGACAAGTTTGTTCTTCCTGGTCAACCTTCGTTCGCCTTGAAGCTCCCGAAAGGAGTGCTTCTCCAGGCCCCTCGGGAGTCGGACCCGGTCGCCACCGGGCCAGGTTCCGGGAGTTCGTGTAAAGGGAAAATGCTGGTAGTCGTCGTACGGTTTTGGAGGTTTCCACTGTCAGGAGCCCCCTGAGACCTAAAAACAACCCAATTTCGGAGGTTTGCCGTTTGTTTTCTGAAGTTCCCGGAGGTTTTGTCGTAAAGGTCTAGGAGGTAATCTGGTTTTCAAGGGCCCTCGAGGGCGTCGCCTCCTCCTGTCACAGGCCCCCAAAAGCACGCCAACGACCCCGTCCCCTTTGGGGATTCGGCGGTTTCCCTCTTGAGTGCTTGGGCGGGCAGGTGGGTTTAGGGTTGGCTCCAGGCTCGTTTACTTGGCTTGGGGCGGGCCAAGGGTTCGTGAAAGGAGTGCTTGGGGCGGGCTCGGCAATATAGCGTTTGTGCGGGGTATGCTTAAGGTGGGAGTAGAATGTGTTAGGCAAGCGCTTGATCTCCTGAGTTTGGCTTTGGGAAAACCCACACTGGTGAAAACTAAAACCAAAAACCAGGGAGAAAACCAAACCAACACCTAAACTAATTCCCGAACGCACCCTTCCGATGTTTCTTCGAGGCGCTTGACGAGGAACGTAGCGCTCCAACCAGCAGGGATCCAAAGCACCGCGCAAATCAGGACACGACCTGAGTCGTTGGCGAGCGCCTCCAAACAGACGTGTCGGCTATTACATCTATACAAACATGGATCAACCGTGGAAAGGAAACCCTAAAAGTTGACATCGCTTAGGGATGTCCTTCTTTCGGGCCTTTCTAAAAATCAGATACACATCTCGAACTCTGCTGTAGTTTCCTTGGAGGAAATCAATCAGAGCGGCGTATTTACTGGAAATACTGGTTTGACATTACCCTGCAGGGCATTTTGGGGTGTAGGACACACACACACAACAGATCCGTTGAGAGTCCCGCGTTTCAAGGAAATCCAATGGGCCTTTTGCGACAGCGCTCTGCTCTCTGGGCACCCCTGCGATCCCACCCGGAAAAGAAACCCCGCTCCCAGGGCGAGTGTACTGCACGCACCTCGCGGAGGCTGCTTTGCCGATGCCCAACAAAGGAAACACTGCTTTGCCACTCCGGTTGTAGAGCCCCTGCAAGACTGCAGTGTTTGCTGGTTGAAAGTTGAAATTAAGTGCAACTTCAAGGACACATTGCAAAAAAAACAATTGAGTCTGCAATGTCCAGGGCTGATTCTGAGGAAAAACCCATCAAACAGTGAACAAAGGGTGCCAAAAGAAAACACTTGGACATGAACAACGGCAGCTTTGGGTATGCCTTGACTCAAAAGGGCCATTTTCGGAAACCGCCAAGCCCAAAGGTCAGCTTGGGCAATGGGGCCTCAACATGGTGTGTGAGTCAAGCACAACATGCGGTTCGGCCGGGCACTAATGAAAGCAAACCAACCAGAAACAACCTCAAACACATTCCCAGGAAGGTGACGTGATGAACATTTAGAACTGACCGCCACTCAAATGGCAACCAAACCAAATCAAGGTGACCGGCCTTTTAGGTCAGCCAGCCAAGGAGTCCAATGGATTGGCGATTGGGCCGTTTTTCCTACGTAACTGGTTCCTTTAAAGAACACCCACCTTCGACATCCTTCGACCAACCGTTCGCACACCAACATCCTCAACCAAATATGTTCTTTTCTGCGGGGAAAACAACCAATACACCTGGGAGACAATGCCAGCTTTTCCAGGACATGGAAGCAGGGAACCCCCCAGGGTCGCCGTCCGGCAGGCCTCTGGGTCCATGATGCACAACGGTGCCACCTGAGTGGGGAACCATGAAAATGAGGAGGGCGGAACGAAGAAACTCGGCTTTGTTTACTTTGTTCTGCTTTTCCTGGGTTGCTTTTCTGAGGGGGGTTGATTGGGGATGTGATTGAGACACAATTTAGAAACAGTTTGAGGAGATCACATCTCCAACTAGTGCTACCTTGCTTCTGAACATGGACGTGCACAATTTTTTTGTTGGCCATGTTATTTGTTGGCCATGTTTTTCCCCAAACAGCTGAAAACTATAGGGGTTCTAACTTCTAATAAAGAAGGGACAATTATTTGCGAGATTGCCGGCTGGGTCTAGGGGGCATGCAGTTTGGGTGCTTGATGGCGCGGGCGCATTTTATTTGGATTGACGGCAGGGTGCTAGGGCATGCAGTTTGGGTGCTGGCGCAGCTGCTGTTTTGGGGTGTGCAGGTGACAGCGCTGGCGCACTTTGGCGGTAGGGTGCTAGGCATGCAGGGTGCTGGCGAAGGTGCTGCTTTGGGATGGTGTTTGGGGTGCTCTTTGAGGTGCTGGTGATGGTGCGGGTGCATGTTTGCGAGATTGACGGCTGGGTGCTCTGGGAGTGCTGTTCGGGGTCGCGGATGCTTTTGAGGTGCTGGTGGCGGGCATGGCGTTTTTGCGAGATTGACGGCGAAATTGGCGGCAGGGCGCTAGGTGGCATGCAATTAGGGGATTCTTGTGCAGGTGCCACAATGCAATCGTTGGCACGTGTTTCGCTGTCTGGGGTCTATGCTGGTGTAATTTTGTAGGACGTTTTCCCGTGCGGCGCAGGGGTTGACCTTCTCCAACATTCACTCACCATGATGAACAAAATGAATTAAACCAAAATGTCCACACAAAGACACCGACAACCCGGAATAAAACAAAGCGGGTTCAGCCGGTGAATGTTTCAAATCGCAAGAATCCCTGGACGTTTCGCAAATAAGGAATTGAAACTCATAGCTCCAAAGATGCTAAACAAATCAAATCTTCCAATCGCTGAGGCTGGGGCGAACACCAGGAGTGAATTCACCAGCACTTCCCCAAGCAGCAATTGGGCCTGCCGATCACTCCCTCAGCGCAACTTCTCTCGAAAAAAACCAACAACCAAACACAGTCCAAAAACACCAAGGTGTTGGAATTTTGGCAAACTACCAAAAAAAAAACACAAACCTGAACAAAAAGTCTAAGGAACCTTCGTTCGCCGCTTGCCCAAACCAACGCCTTGCAACTTGTTTAACTTGTTCAACCCAGCGTGTGGGTTTCCTTCCGCGGCCTTCTGCTCATAGAGTGCGCCGGTGCCTTTGAGGAAGTTCTCCGCCAACAAGGCGCCAAAACCTCAATCTCAACATGTGCAGTTGGCTCTGATTTCTTCTGAATATCTGTGTTTACTTTCCATCTTACCCAACTCAGCTATGCTGAAGCTGCTATCTCGACAGCTTCACACGCAAAGGTTACCCATAATCCGAAAACGACACACAAAAAACAACACAGGAAATATGTGAAAGCATCATTCAACCAACAAACAAATACAATGCTGCCGGCCGAGCTGCAATTAAAGCAAATGGAACCCAGCACCAAGAGGGTGCCAGCAATTTCGATCCTGGCCAAGTCATCATGTGTGCACATCTACAAGGACTTGCAATTGGGCTGTCAAACAATTTTTGAGCCGCTATCCAACGCCATTTTGGATCTGGGTTGAATTTTGAACCCGTCCTGCCCCCCCCCCACCCAACAGTCCTCCGGGGACACCACGGATCGTGACGTTGTTGTGCCTCCCGTTCATGTGCGACCCTGTTCTGCTTACATCCAAATCTCACTTTCCATTTTCTTCTCAATCGTATCAGTTGGTCTGATTTGCAATCGACATGCCTTTTTCCCGCGCGCGTCAAACCTCCGGACTTCCTGGATCTCAGTCGTTGCACTCCGTTTCGGACCCGCTCACACTGCCAGGCGGGAATCGCCGGATCGCGGTCGCGCTGCTTCGGGGCGATCGCATCGCTTTGGGGAGTCGCATCGCATCGTTTGCCTGCTTTTACTACGGCGGGCATCTTGTTCTCACACCCTGTCCTCACATGTCCAACAAAGAAATGAAAAGATCGACACAAGGCTTCCAAAATCTTGAACATGCGGCCGAACACGGTTCAAATGACAAGGAATGCATGCGGACATTGAAGCTTAAAGGAAACCAAAAGATCAATTCAGTTGTCAAGGATCCATTTCAAACTTCTGCGTCCCCATGGCATGGTGGATGGGCATCGCATCCTCGCGCGACACGTCGCAGTCGAAGTACTTGTCCTGCATAATTCGCTTCGCCTCCTCCTGGTTGCGCGTGGCAAACCAAAGCTGTGGCGTCTGGTTGCGTCTGGTTGACACTTTTGGCTTCGCCTTTCATTTCCCAACTCGGCCTCCCAATGCTGGAGACAATTGCCCAATCAAATTTGGCCCCCCCACACCTCAACCAACTCCGAACTTTTGCTGAGACCAACCTTCTGGCAGGTTGGAAGAGACCTCGCATTGTAGTAAAATTCACACGGATGTTCTCCAAATTAGGACCTCTGGTGCTTGGTTTCCTTCCAACAAGGGAGCTTTGCGGAACCCACCGAAAAACCCCGGAAAAGAGGAATGTGGCCTTAGAACGAAGCCTGTGGGTCCGGCTTCGGCCACCGCAACAGAACTAAGCATCAACATTTACGAGCAGCAAAGAGCAAGAACAAGCAGAGAACAGCCAAAATACGTGCAGGATAACAAGAGCAGCCAGAACCACAAGAATGAATAGAAGTAAGACCAATAATGTTCAAGAGCAAGCCCGCTAGCAAAAATAGGAACAATACAAGGAGGGGGTGGATCATGGAGTCATGTACTGCAATCAGCCCTCGCCGAAGGTCAGTCCCTGCAACCCCATAAGCATCCAATCCTTGACCTGGAATAGTGTGAATCCGAGGGGTCAGATCGTCAGATCAGATCCGGCCGATTTCTACGGGACTTGGAAGATTTCCCCAGATGACCTTTTTACCTCTTGCCGAAGGCGGTAAATCAGAAGGTCAAGATGGTTTGGCCAAACCATTTAAGTTGGTTGCTGTCGCACCAGAGGGCCAGCCCCTTGTTCAAACATGCTTCAACACCTATTGTTCAACGACCTCATTTTGGCCTCCCTTGAAACGGGACGAAGGGCTGGTTGTTCTATAGCAACCATGACCAATCCTATTTGGGTCTGTCTTTTATTAGGGGACCCCAGAATAACTTCGGCTTTCCTTGAAAACCAGAAGATCTATCCATTTTGCTTCCACCCAGTCGGCCGACTTCGGTGCGCCCGGCTCCTTGTGCTTGGCTTCCAGGTGCATCTTCACGAACTCGGGGCCCCGGAAGAGCTTGGAGCAGAGCATGCACCGGAATTTGGCCCCCGCCACGCCTGGATTCGCGGGGGTTTGCTTCGGCCTTGGGACCATTTGGTCTGACAGCCTCAAAATAGCGCGCGCGAAAATGAAGTGCGGTTTCAAGGAAAACTTCTGGGGCCCAAAGCGGAGTTTTGAGAACACCTGAAATGTGTACTTTGGAAGCCAGACTTGGCTGCCCAGTAGCAACCCTGAAAGGAATTTGGGGTGACCCTCTTTACACGCAAAAGCACCCAACGAACATGAGAAAAAATAAATAAAATCATGTGCCGCTGCGCAACTGGGCATACCCAGCGTCACTAGACCCACAAATGGGCATGCCCTAAAGGCAAAACCCAAACGTGGACCCAGAAAGTTGGGGCCTGGCTTTCTGGGTCTAAGATTGGCCCCTTCTGTCTCCAGTTTGCGCTTGGGTGTCCACACATTGGGGCCGTCCCTCAAGACGAAAAAGGAGCCCTGGAATGGGATGGACTGCTGTTGCTTCTCAAAACTCCAGCCAGAAGCGGGTCTTTGATCTTGGGACTGACACCATCTACGAAGTCGTGGCCCCGTTTGCGAGCGCCTCTGACGAATCGGGGCGTGGGAAATCCAAAGTGGACGGCTCGTTTCCTCGTGGATTTCCTGAGGGGGACTTTCAGGGGAGCTGATTTCCCAAGGTTGATCAATTTGCTGGTGAAGTCCAAAGACTACCCGTCTTTCTAACCCGAAATGCCAGAAGCTTGTCTGGAGCCCATGCGTTTCAAGCCCGAAGCGGGCTGACACTTGAGTTGCACCCCTCTGTTTTCTCTTCGGCCCAATGGCCCAGACCCCCTTCAGCACCACTTGGCATCGCCTGGAACCGCTCGCACGCTGCTCGCACTACCCAGACCCGATCCTTTTCGAGAAGTCGAAGATCCGTTTTGCCGACTTCCCTCCAGATGGCTAGATGCAAGTTCCCCACTTCCAAGGCCACAAGCAAACGAGTGTCGCTTCCCCGCTTCCAGGCTGCTCCATACTCCGACCGGCCAACCCGCGCGAAAAAGCCCGCGCCTTGGATGAAGGGCTCGCACCAGGCCTCTGAGTTCTCGGCCTCCGCGCCCTCCGACTCCGCCCGGCTGGACAGCTCTGCGGAGCGCCGGCGCGAGGCCTCGCGCGAAAAGTCACAAAGGTCAGACCAACCTGGAGCCTCCACCCTAAAAGAATAGAGGGTCATGACAACGTCTTGGTGTTGGAGACTCTGGAAAAAAGGCTGAACTGAAGTTGCACGTGAGTTCGAAAGGGTACCTTCGTGTGCATGCAACTGCTCTCCCGCAAAATCGACGACCAGTCCCATCACGAATGCCCGCCTCGATCTTCCTCAAATGAAAGCAACGCGCACCGCAGCCGGACGAAACATGTGCACAACATGTGAGGTCGGTTGGTGTGGTCGGGGTCCCAACCTCCTCAAAGGGGTCCTTACCAGCCCTACCAACCGACCGACCAACCAACCAACCGATCTAAGAACCTACCAACCGAACATATCTACCCATCAGCAGCTCCGCGTCTTGTGCAGCTCCGCCAGCTCGTTCCGCAGGTGCGCCCTCTGGCGGTCCACCTCCACCAGGCGCCTCGCCGCCTCGTCCTCCGCATCCTGGACGCGGCGCTGCTGGTCGTCGTCAAAGCACAGCAGAGCCGCGGGGGGCTTCACCTTCAAGGGGCTTTCCGGGGATGGGTTGTGGAGGTATGGAGGCTATGTGCCACTTCACTATATGCGGAGCGCATACAGCGTTACAAGCTCCTATCGGTGATATGTGGTGTCAGTTTCCATTGCGAACCGCGGCAATCTGTATTGGAGCCGGCCGGCTGGGGCTCAAATATGTTTCAATATTGGGGTGGCTCTGCGCACATGGGTTTTAACAAATGGCTTCCTTTGGTGCAAAAGGCGTTGTTTAAAACCACAAGACGCAATACTCGCTTGTGTCATCATAGGTGTCTTGAAACCCACTCGTCTTTTCAAAGTACTCGTTCTGTGGCTCGTGGGCTCCATTTTTTGGTGGGGCGCAGCTCACTTTGAGCAATCCACGAGGGTCCCCTATTTTACACCACCCGTATTCTCACTATGAGTTTGAGTTGTACAGATTGGAACCCCTTGGCAATTGTCTGGTTGCCTGAGTTGGGGCTGTGGGGACGTGTAAGGGTTGTCCAAAATTGGATCCCGGGTGGTTGGGCTCTTGAGGTCCCGCCAGCAATGTCGTCAAAGCATGGGGACGCCTCCAAATGGTCGGGTTCGCCTTGACGTTTCAGGCGATATGGGGAAATTACAACGATTCGCACAGCCGAATAAGGATCCCTCAGCAAGGAACTTTCCTGGAACTTGGCTCGTTTAGAGCGTGCCCAGGAGGTCCCCGAAACTTCCTGCGCCTGCAAGAGCCTTGCTTCCACTATCCATATACGGCGCGAAGTGGACTTTGTCCATCAACAATTGCATTGACTGCCAGCAGGTTAGCAGGCAACCATGCATTTCCCCAAAGAGTTCAAGGTTAAATACCCCCCACACACACTTCCCCGTAAAAGTTCAAGGCTCAAAATCCAATGAAATAGTCAAGGCTTCACATGTTTCTGGGATCCTGGGCCTCCAGCAGCGAGATGTCGTGGCTCTGGGCGATCTCCCGCACCCGCGCCTGTGCGCCGCTCATGGAGGGCCGCGCCGCAGGGCTGGCCACGCAGCACCTCTGAGTGGCGGATGGGGGGGTGGGGTTGAGGGGTCGGGGGGTCGGGTCGACGAATTGTCGCATCGGACCATTTTCCGAAACTGTTTGGGGATGCGCCTTCAAATTCCCAAGCGACGGGTTGGTTTGGGACCATTTTCCTCATGTTTTGTTGAAGAGGGCTACACTTCGCAATGAATCATCCAGCATGCTGGGGCCTTGCTTTACCCAAGGTGGGCCAGTCAGCTGCGCTGTAGGGTCAACCACCGCGGGGATAGACCCATCTGTGTTGGGCGCTCATCTGCTGGTTTCCTTTTTGGGGCCCAAGGGGTAAGGTGATCCACGTGTTTTGGAGTTGAAGCTCGAGGCCCCGAGACTCCTGAGACCCTAGCTGCCGGATGAGCTCCGCGCAGTCCGCCGGCACGCCAGAGGGGATGGCCAGCCTGAGGAGTGGACCCCCGAGCCTCTCCAAATGACGCAGGTGTTGGTCTCCTGAGCCTCCTCGCATGGAACCTATGAGGGTGTCCACTTGAAAAGGCAAGTGGCCTTCCAGGACCCAGTTAGCCGAGAGGGTATGTGTCAAAGTAGTGGGACCGCAAATGGCGGGTTGCTGTTTGGGGTTCAAAAAAACCCTGAAAAGGGCACCTTCAAAAACCGCAAAGAGCGGTGTTGAATAAGAAGGCATGCCCTTTTTTTGGCGGAACCCCTTATCCTTGCAGTACCCTGGAACCGATAGCTGTGGGCTCCTGGACAATCCTTCCTCCATGTTAGTCGGTAGAGGCAGTTGGTCGTACATGTTTTCGACAACCAAGAGGAAACCAAACTGTTTTCTTTTCCTCTCTCTCTCTCTCTCCTCTTCTCATGCTTCCGAGAAGTAACATCAAATTATATTTCCGCCCAACGTGATTTTGATAGGAACGCAAGCATGGACCCTTTATTCTTGCTGGATCTCAGCGGGGAGGACCCCACTTGTGGTTTCCTTTTTGGGGGGTAAAAACTAAGGGTCCTTGTTTAGCAGCCCCACTGATTTGAACCATCTCGAGGATTTGGGCTGGCCTTCGAAAGCCAAACATGGCATCTTCTCTTTTGGTTTCTCCTGAGCCAAACCGTTCCAGCTAGAAAAGGAGCCCCCAAAAATCGCAAATGTCCATCCAAAAAGGAACCACACACTTTGAAAAACCACCAAAGTATCGGGTTCCTAAAAAAAAATGCACAAAGAAACCTGCCCTGCCCCCCTCTTCCCCCCCCCCCCCCGAGCCCCACGCGCCCCGCAGTCGGATCCCTGACCCGAGTCGCCGAGGCGCTGGTTGGCCGCCTTCACCGCCGGCAGCTGCGCCGCCGAGATCTCCGCAAAGGGCACCTCGAGACCAGGTTTCCCCAACCTGAACTCAGTTGCCCAAAGGACCTGGAACTAAAAGGTCAAAAGGTCGGCTTTGAACAATTGAGTGAAGGATCCCCAACCTTGAGAGCAACCATGCGTATGCATACACACACACAATATATATATATATATATATAATATATATATATATAATATAAATATTATGTACACATAGAGAAAACACACATATTAACATAGATATGTCTACCTATGAGTGCTGTCCACAACTTGTGGTACTGCTTTCAGATCCTTCGGGTCAAATAGTGTTTTGGGGGCCTATCGTTTCACAGCGGTTTGCGCATTTACTGCCTAGATGGCAGGAATTGTGGCAGCAATCTGGGGTTAGGATTGCTACCAAGGGGTATCGTTCGCGGTATTGTTCCGGAATTGATTTGTTCAGGATGATTCAAGTATCGTTCCGGAGTGGAATTACGCTCACTCGTCCGACCGTTTGCACAAATCGCAGCACATCACCAAACTTAATCAGAAAATCCCTGCGTAAGCTTCATCATGGGTGAGTGAAACAAATGACATGACAGCTTCGCCTCCCAGTCTTCTGGAACCTCTGACACACATTCATTTGGAGGGCCCCTGAGCGCCGAGTGCCAATCCAAACACCTCTCGCACCTCCCTTGGACTCTGCGTGAGCCCTTTGTCAGCGAGCCGCCCGCTTGGTGAGCAGCTCGAAGAAGATGATGGCCTCGCTCACCGGTAAAAAAAAGCCTTACCCTCCCAATAGCCTGGAAGCCGGGACCCTGTGAGAGGAAAATCGTTTACCAAGGGACTCCTGATTGGATGGTCACAAGGCGATTCCACACAAACCATTGGAGGGGCTCCCGCTTTGGGATGGGTGCCTGAAAGTAGAACCCCAGCCTTAGACACAAATGAAAGCATCCTCCAATTCCAGAACCCTAGATCCCTGGCCCAGAGCCGCTCCGATCCCTGGTCCAGGGCCAAAAAGGAAGTGTCCAAGTTTGCAATGAGCTATCCATATGAAGCACGGTGAGATGTCCCACATTCCAGGCTGGCAAGGTCGCCCCCCTCAAAAAAACCCGACTGGGCGGCCGGGCGAAGGAGTAGACGTCCGCCTTCTCTGTAAGCCCCTCCTTCTGGTCGAACATCTCAGGAGGCGCCCACACGGGGCTCACCCCCTGCAGGGTCGACTGCACATAGGTGGCCTCAGAATCAGATCGGTTGACTGACAACGCATTCCGAAAATGCACGTCCTTTTGGCTCGTCTTTAAAAAAATGTGGGTTGTTTCGCACCTTGCGACTGATCTCGCTTGGGAGAAAATCGCAGCCACACGTGAAGCATCCCCACACCCCATGTTCATAAACCAGTCTGCAAACATCCCGGATATGCCTTTTGACCCCTTTATGAAGATCCAGGGGAAACATGCATTGAGAGAAGTTGGACCACCCTCTTTGGGAGGGGATCGTGTGTACACAGCCAAACCCCGAAACCTCAAGGAAAACGGCCCAAAAACAGTCGTGACTTCAACGCGTTCAACGGGAGCTTGGCATTGTGATACTCACGCGCCCATCAGTTTTCGATTGGTCTTCCATGGGATGGACACTTTCAGGAAACACTTCTGGAGCTCAATCCCCTATTATTTCGCCCATGCTTGCGGGAAACCACCAAGATTCGCTTGGCTTGGGACATTTTCAGAAAGCAGGATTGGGAAGGATGGAGATCACACATATTACAGCCAGAACAAATCGAGTTCTGCTCTGTTTTCCACTTGGCAACCGATGCACACTGTGCAGCGAATCGATCGGCAATCGTCGCGGATCCAATCGACGGTAAAATCGCCTCGCCCTTCATCTTGGCCAGGCCGAAATCACAGAGCTTGGCGGTCCACACAGGCGCGCAAAGTACGTTGGGACTCTTCAAGTCCTCCCAATCCAACTTGAAGCGAAGCCGCAGTAAGCCCAACCACTCGCACGGTGAAGCCCTCAAGCAAAATCTTGAACTTCAACTAAGTGGCAGGGCACCTAGGAACCTCAAACAAAAAACGGAACTCATAGTTGAGATAGTGAGGGGATGAAGAGCCGGCCGCCATGAACTTTGGCAGAAGATTTCGGCCCACTATTTTGCCCTTGCAGCTGAAACAAAACGCAAACAGTTCATCTGAATTCCGAAGCCTGAAATAAGCATCGCCCCTTCTCCATGGTTGCAAATCAAAAGCTCTATTTGTGAAGTCGCTTTAGTTGCCCGTGTAAACATGGACACCCCGAAGACTGTGTACAGGACACTCCTTTGGGGGGCAGCGGCTATGTCAATTTTCGAGCAGTTTCCTGCTGAAGATTCCCAACGTAGCACAACTCAACTCTCTTGTCCAAAGGACCTGGTAATTAAGCTTATAGATTGCAGAATGTGGACCGTGGGTCGAAAAGTAATGGCGAAAATTATATGATCTTTCTATGTCTCTCTTTCTCTCTTTTTCCCTCAGCCGAAGCAAGCAGCAAACACCCAAACGCCGGCGTCTAGCAAGCAACGCAGTGCATGCACCAAATGCACGAAAGAGCCCAGCAAAAACCTGTGGGCGGTGTCCAGGTGAAGGATCCGGTTGCTATGGAGGTACTGCACCCCTCTGGCCACGTCCAGGGCGAAGGAGAGGGCCTGCCAGGTGTTTTTTAAGGGCATGCTGGAGACGCGTGCCAAGCAACGGAAGGAAACCAAAGAGGGTCCCCTACAACGAGATTCCTCCGAATTCTGCTCCATGTGAATCTGCTGGAGTAAGTATGATTTTGAGTGGTCGGACCGATTAAACCCACCAAATTTGTAACTACACACAACTCTACTATGAGCATGGACCAGATTTGCTTTTAAAGTGCCCCATTCTCAAGCCCGTTCTCAATATCGGTATGTGGCAAGATGGCGAGCCCCTACATGGGATTCGGTTCTCCTTTTGGTTTCCCTTCAATGATTCAAAGCCATTTAAAAGTGATGGAGCCCATATTGAGGCAACCCCAAGTGGCTGTGGGTCAAAGATAGGTACCAAAAATGGAACCTTGACTAAAACCTGCGGTCCCCTGGTGGTTTGATTTTGACCCACACCCAAATGGGGGCACCCCACCCCACGCCTGCGCCAAGGTGAGGGGATCCGGTAGCGCGGGGCCGCCGTGGCCATGCAGCAGCCGCGACAGCCCGCCTGGTGGAAAGCTGTGCGGCCCAGCCGCTGGAACCCACGGGTTTGCTTTAAGGGGGCGCTAAAAAGCGGGTGGACGCGGAAAATTCGGGGTTTGAGCAGCTGGTGGCTCAAAAGAGGCCTGGCAAAACGGAACTAGATGTGAAGAGAAGGCCAAAAGGCAATCAAAAAGGGCGAAGGTCAAAAAGACGAGGAGCCTTGCTTGATGTACTCCGTGACCATCAGCAGGCTCCTTAGCTGCTCAAAACTCTACGTCACCAACCTGAAAACCGAAATAAAGGATCTCATGAATGAGCGCGTTTTGCCCCCCACGTGAGCAAGCGTGGCTTAGCGAGCAGGCCCGTGTCATTCGGCGGCGTGCATGTTGGTTACTGGAAGGGTAATCTGCATTCTCTGAAAGGTTAAGGTTCAAATGTGAAAGGATGTTGACAAACCATTTTGGTCATGCGCCAGGGTTTCTCCACAATTCGAAACTCTGCCCACCTGCGGTCCACATGGGAATTATATTTAGATATAACATATATAGAATATATAGAGTTTGGACCACAAGCGGTCTTTTGGGGCAATTAGACTCCTTAGAGGTGTAGAAGCCTGGCTTTAAGGGGCCCTCTACCCCGCAAGGGATTGTGGGGTGCCTTGATCCACGTTTGGGCTAAGAATATGCCAAGGCGGTAAACCACTTGTGCTTCAACCAACATCCAGCTGCAATACCTTTTCTTTTGCAACGTTGCCCAAACACGGGCACAAACCGATAGACACGGAACGCCTTTTGGGGGGTGAACACTTTAATGGGGAGCCCACCCAACAAAAAGAGCTTTTGAGCGCCGGATCCATTCAAACAATTTATTCGCCTTGTCCTGCAACGCTCCAACCCTCCCTCCAGGTCGGGCGTGTGTGACTGACCCAAGGATGCTTGTGCCAAGGCCACATGCGGCACCTGATTACGTGGTTTGGTACGGGGAAGTGCCGACACATGAAACCCATACGCCACCCACTGGACCAGTACTCTCTTATGGCAAAAAGTGCAACCTGCAGTGAGACCAAAAACGTTTGGGGGCATCGAACCTTTCTGCAGGGCTGCTTCCCTTTCGCATTTTTGTGCAGAGAGGCGGGCAGGTGTGACGAAAATGCTCAACGATTCACCGCTGGTATCTACATGGTGTGTTGCCTATAAACTTCTAGAGTGCAAACTTGCCGTCTTCCTCACCTCTCCTTGGTCAACGTGGTGGCTTGGACTCCAAGCGAGGCTCCGGGTCTGCCCGTGCAGCTCCACGGAGCCCCGCCAGAAGCGGACGATGTTGGGGTGGTTCAGCTGCGACAGAATGGCGATCTCCAAGAAGAAGTCCATGACCTGGCGAGGTTGACATATAATCATGGCTATAACCTGCTATCTGGGTTGAACATCTAAGCATATCCTAAGGCCCTACTTGCATGCCCATTCTTAGCCAATCATCTTTGGGTCGCCCATTGGCGAGTCACCGAGTCGGGGTTCTTAGATCATCCACTCGATCATTACCAACGCACATGCTGGTATGCGTTTGATCTGATAAACAGGGTTCCTTAAAGGATGCGTCCCAAAATGCATCCTTGCTTGTATGAGGGCCCATACGGACTCTGAGCAAAATTCATGTTTCCCCCCAACAACGAGCGCTGTGCCTCAATCCTCCTTTGAATTTAGGGCGGTTACGAGGAGGATCCGGGGCGAAAATAGACAGGGTACAACTTTGCCAAAATTGTTCTGAGAGTTGATCGGGATTCAGGAGATGCCCCGGGTCGCAGGCTACTTGAAAAAAGCCAGTCAAAATGATCGAGCAGCATCTATATAATAATTACTTCACCTGTCACGTTACGCTTCTTGGGTCCCCTTTGAAAGAAAATCGCGGGATCCCTGTGAGCACGGGAACTGCCTTTGAAGGGGAACCAGGGAGGTGCTTAAGGCGGTGGAGCCAGTGATGGCCAGGGCTAGGAAACTATTTCATCTTCTTCTGGTGCCCCTGTCGGGGCTGCAAAGAGAAACACAAAGGAAAGTAGAGTTTGATTCAGTATTCTGTTGGTGTTTAAGTGCCTTCCAAAGGAAACTTAGCCACCCATTCTGGTGGCTCCCCGATTGTGAGACAATTAGCTGTGCTTGAATGCGTCGTCTGCTGTTTGACAATTCCCGGTAACAGTGATTATGCCCTACTCCAAAGGAGCTAGAAAGCCAACCTCCACATGTCAAGGGAAATGAGACAGCTTCCACTCATGACTCATGCTAAATGAACGTACCAACAAGGTGGCCCCCCAAAAGAGGGTTCCCTCTATTTGTAAACATAAAGCACCAACACCCAATGATAGGTTTTGTATTAAGGAAAAAATGCCAAGCGTATGTTTTTCCGGTTGGGGTGGGGTGGGGGAGGGGTTCGAGTGTATCCGCGCCAAAGGCAGCATCTCGGCCTCCTGGTGGCTCGGGGAGTTATCTTTCATCTCCTTCACCGCTACGCGGACTCCGTCCCAGCGGCCCTGGCACTGGTGGAACCCGTACCCCCCCCCCCCCCCACGCGTACAGGTTGGACACACTTCCATTGCAGCACTGCCCCTCTTGACACTCAATTGTTGGACTGGCTTTTCTGCCATGAAACTCCTGGATAAACTCAAGCGAGGCATTTCCCCTGAGAAGCAATCATAAGTAAGCCTACTCCACCCCAAGTGCGAATGCAAATCAGTACGACGTGAAATCTGCAGGGGTTAATGAGATCTTTTGTTAGTTGGACGGGTATTCCCACCCTCAGCACGTGGCTCTACTTGGCTGAAACGGAACTGTGAGGATCACCTTAAAACGTTGGGGTATTTTCTGCAAGTGAGGCAACCCCAAGAAGGCTCCGCTTCCGAAAAGCAGGGGGCAGTATCTTACGCAGCTTTCGCGGGACTGGGGTTGGGGGTCTCCCATTCTACACTATTTGGACTTTTGCGAGAATGGGACAATGTATGAAGCTCCGAAGACCACCCCCCTCAGTGTATCTTGAAGTCCCAAGTGTATCTTGAAGGGGGGATAAAGCAATGTGAGCCCAACATCAATCAACCCAGTCCTTCATGGGGAACATTCCCCAATCCACCAAGTTGATTAATCCGGAGTCAAAGTTCCCTCTGGAAAATCGGGAAGACACCTTGAGGCAACTCCCCGTCTATCTTTTGTCGTCTCGGGATGTCGGCTGGGGGAGGCAATGGGCAACTTCTATCTTATGGTGGTCCAGTGGCCCCATATAGGGACTGCATGTAAATAAGTAAGCAATGCAATTTACCTGCTCCAAATGAGGACACCCAAACGTGGGCTTTGGTGTCCTGAATGCCACAAGCGGTGGCTCTGAAGGAACCCTTATAAAGAAAACGACTTAAATTTGGAAAAGGGGCACCCATCGCAAACACAGGAGCTGCGCCCTTTCCAATCTGGTCTGTAAAAAAGAGCACCCCCACACCCCACAAGAAATCATGGCTTCACAATACCACCAACTCCCAGAAGCCTCGTTTTTTTCCTCTTTTTTTTTTTTGGGGGGGGGTCCGAACTCGAAGATGTCACCCGAGTTTCTCCGGCCCTTGGGGTGGCCCTCCCGCTGCCGGGCGCCTGGAAGACCTCCCCGAAGCCCCCGCGGCCGACGCGCCGGGCGCGCTGGATCTCCAGCTCCCAGGGCTCCACGTGCCACGGCGGCCGTGGCCTGGCAGCCGAAGTGCGTGCCACCCCGGCAAAGCCGCAATCCAAGGCTTGGGGGTCCCCCAACTTATTGGATCCAGCTACACTCAACGAGCTGGCCTTCTTTCAGCAGTCAGGTCTTGTTGCTGGGTGAAAGGAAATCAAAGATCAAACGACATCTGGCATAGTCGTTGGCAACGCCCAAACAGAAGCTGATGTTAGGCCAAACAATGGAAAACACACACTCCCCAAGCAAATGCCTTGTATGCCACTAGCATGTACTCATACCAAAAACGAAAACACACACACAAAGTTGACAAAGCCCCATAAAGAAACCCAGCAAACCCAACAAAGAAGTCAATCAACCAATTAAACCAATACACACGAACACAATCAGCACCACCCCCTTTCCCCCGAGCCGAGTCGCATGTGCCCGGCCAGGTCGGTGCGCGCCGAAGGCGGCACCGGGGGTTTGCCCGTGAAGGCCGCGTCGGCCACGAGGCGGCGATACCTCGGTTCAACCCACGCGGAGTCAAGTGGGTCGAGTTGGATACTTGCTGTGGGGCTACCATTCACCAGACTTAAATGAATCCATGATAATCCATGAAACTAGGTTTAGTCAAATGTTCGGGAGGATATGGGGGGGAGGTTGTCGGTGAGTGCGGTGACAAAAACGGTTCCTCATCAGCCCCTCCTGCCTCCAGAAAGGTTCTAAGGTACTAAGAACGCCCAAGAACCCTCAAGAAGGTTCTAAGAACCTGTGGCGGGGCCCTAGGAATTTCTTAGCAAGACACGCCACGATGTGAATAGATGTTGACTGTCGCAACATGACCAACATATGTCGCGACACAGTGCCATGCTAACAATACCAGCCCCGCACCATAGTGACAATTGGTTCATGCAGCCGAAAGGGTTACCGACCTCTTTCGGTTGCCCTTCCAACTTGTCTAGCTGCACTCCTCCGAGTCTTTCCAGGAACGCTTCTTTTTCAGCGAGTGCATTCCAACCAAAAAGGGAGGCTTTTGCGGTTTCTCACAAGAGCACTAGAGCAGGCAATGCCATGGCGCCACTTTTACGGCGGGGTGAACACTCCTCTTCTCTTTGTCACCCCGGCCATGGCGTGAGACGTATGGAAAGCCACTAGGGACCGGACCGCCACATGACCGACAGCAATTCCCTTTGTGGATGTATTTTTTTGGGGACACCAAAAGGAGACCGTACTTTTTGCTGGGGCACTTTGCAAAGATAATGGGTAAAGCCCAGAGAGCGCCGTGAACCGGTCTGCCTCGGTCTGCAAGGCTCCCCAAGAGGTGCCCGAACGCAGGAATTCTTTAAATTCATCCAAAAACCATTGATTCCTGAACTGACCATAACCGACTCACATCCTAAGGATCCTTGTTTTCCGCACCCAGGAAAATTGGATTTGGAGATTCTTGGGATTGGCAAAGGGCAACCAACAGGACACCAATAATTTCCATGACTTTAGGAGACAAATTGACGCTCGGGTGGAACTTAATAGGCCTGTGGTGGACATCATTTGGGTAGCTCATGTCCACCACTTTCGAGGTGGGTCCCAACTTAAATTCATAGCCATTTGGCTGTGGCTCAAAAAATTGGTACCCACTTTTTGTGGCTCTATGGAAACAAAGACCTACACCTGCATAACCCCAGCTCTTCAATTCTGAGCCACCCCCAGGTTTCCCCAAAATCCGCGGCCGAAATCCGAGGGGCTCCTGGGATTTGGCCGAGGGATCCTCGTAGAGCGCCCCGGGGTCGAAGAGAAGATCCACCACGCAGGGCAGTTGGGACCCCACGTGCACCACGTTCCTTGGGAGCACTAAATGGTGTTATTTTCTGGTTTGCTCCACACCTCCCCCCCCCCCTCAAAAAAAGATTGATCACCGTTTATAAAGTTTATAGGTTTATAAAAATGAGTTCCCCACCCCGCCCTTGAGAAGAAGGTTGATCACGTTTTGTATGTTTAGTGGAAACCTCATTTGTTTCCAAAACGTCTAAGGTCCTCCTTGCGACCTGCATGCATCTCCGAAAGGTCTAAGGAGCGATTCGGTCACACCAAAAACAAGCCATGGGCTTGTGGGGTTCCAGTCTTTCCAGTCTTTTGGGCAAAAGGGCCTCGGTTTCTATTTTGAATTCCCAGCAAAACGTACCCTCCGCGACGGACTCACCCATATTTCTTGCTGACCGCAGGAAGGGAATCAATGACCTAAGGCTGTTTGTTGTCTGGGTTGCTCAGTTCTGCCTTCTCTAGAAAGTAGACATGTTGCTTTGTGCTGTTGTTTTGCCGCACGGGTTGGGGGGAGAGGGCCAGGCGGCATCTTTTCTGTTGGAGATATCGGCTGCTGCCGTGGAGGCAATGAAGGGATAGGACCCCGAGACAAGCGTGCAACAGTCAAAATTCGTCATGTGATGTCATGGCCACAAATTGCTGAACAGGACCCCCCGTCATGGCCGTCCGAAGCCCTGTCGAGACGAGTAATGACCTCTACGTCCCAAGCCAAAAACGCGCTTTGATTAAGTAGGTTGAGCACGTAAATATGATGCCTTCAAAATTGGAATTTGTTTTGGAGCATATCTTCTTTGGTATTTCAGTTTCGGTTGGACACCAAAGCACTCACCACCATTTTGGGCCTCCTTATCTTTGCGACTGCACAAATCCACACCTAAAAGGTTGCCAACGCCCGTGCCGAGCGTCAAGGACACATCCCTCTCGAGTGTGCATGGCACACTGCCGAGCCAATCTGCGATGGCCTGCACGCAGCATTGCGGGTTGCGGGCTGCGGTGGCAACGCAACTCTGCGAGGGCTGGTTTCCCAAGGGCAAAATCTCATTTGCCAGGCCTGGGAATAGGTGATTTTCCGTTTGAGAGCCTGTGACTCCAACAGAATATGGGCTTGCACATCACCCCACCAAAAAAGGAAACACTGTTCAAAAGTGCAGCCAAACATCCCAGGGCTGGGTTCCGTTGTGCAGCTGTCTCTGACCAGCGCCCTCAGATCTGCCCCAAACCACTTCTGGGAGAAGTAGTGTGGGGGTAGTGGAAACACTGGTAGATTTTTGGCTGACACTTTTGACATTTGGGTGACCTGGGTATGTCTCTTTTGAGGGTATCCTTTCTGATGTTCGCTGCACATCTTCGGGGTTCCTGTTTGGAGGCCCCCGTCTCCCACCAGGTAAACAGAAGGCAAATGATCAACACGGCAAAAAGTCATTGCTGCCTTTCCTGTAGGCCGATGGCTTGAAGGACCCTGTGCAGAAATGCATTTGATTGCGCAAGACCGTGGCTGGAAGCTTGCCTTTTCGTTCTTCAAACGGTGCAGCCTTCATTTGGGGCCAAGGTGAGCCGTAAAAAACAAGAAACACCAGGCTGGTAGGGGAGTCATGTCACAGCCGATGCAGGCCACTTTCATTTCAGTTGGGTGGTTACCAGGATAGTGCTGAAGGAGAGACAACATTCTCGAGATGGAAGAGGGACGCTTTTCAAGACATGCTGGTGGAATACTTGCTGAGTGATACAAAGCGGGCCACCCCAAACAAAACTTTCCAGGGGATTCTTTTGTCTCACGTTCATCGGCCCCAAGTTTTTCCGGATGCCCTTTTGGGAGAGCGGCTTGAAAGGGAAACCAAAAAGACACCACACAGCTGTTGGGGGTTCCCTACCTGGCCCAATTGACACAGAAAAAAGTTTCACTTGCATTTTTCTGCCCGATTGGAAACGACCAGTTTTGAAGACGGCTTGGCCCGAAATGCGCACCGCGTTTCGAGCGCAATTCGGCGCAACTTCGGGCGCAACTTCGCGCAACTCGGGCGCAAATCCGCGCAACCGAGCGCCATTTCAACAACTGCCCAAGTTCTGGTCACGACACTAGCGCCAAGTCGCTGGCTCCCAGAAACGTTTCGGGCATTCTTTCCTGCGAAAAAACCCTTCGAGCTAAACAACATTTCTGTATCAATTGGGCCTCCAGGGATATCAAGAAACACATGATCTACTTTCCATAGATCGCCCACATCTCTTTTGGCCTTGAAGAGCAAAGCCCGCTGTGGCCCCATGGTTGCGCTGGGGCGCGAGGCGCTCATGTCCTTGGAAGACGACTGGCTTAACAGGCTGGAGCTCACATCTCGGGTGCAAATAGGGTCTGGAAAAGAACATGCGTATCCAATTCTGGTTTCCCTTTGGGTACACTAAAAGATGCGGGCTGTTTAGCACTCAGCTTATCAAGGTCCCTGTCAATAATTGAGAAACACAAAACCAAACCAAACCAGCGAAACCACAATGGCTTTTCCTAGTTTGGGATCCTGCCCCCACTAACAATGGGGGGGTCGTAACTCAATCTGTTGACCACCTCGCAACAACTTGCTCTTTCAAGGTTCCCTGTCAAACGTTCAAAGTGTGTTGTGGCAGTTGCGTTGGTCTATTCCACAAAACCGTGGATTGTTCTAGGCACTCCCTTGCTTGGGGCTGATCAAAGAGTTGGAGGCTCATTTGGGCTCCAAGTTGTGCAGCGGCAGGCCAGCCAAAACGAAGGTTTCCCATGTTGGATACAAATCTCGCAAAACCTGGAGCTCTTTCCTCCGCTTGAAGCCGCGATTCTGCTTGACGATCTCCGTCCGAAAAGATCATGACTGAAGAGGTGGCAAAGTATGCTTGGCGTGAACAACTCCCAGCAAGCCGCGCAAAAGAAAAAAACACAAACAACCCCAGGGTACAGCCTTTTCTGCATCATGTAATGCGCAAAGTAGTAGACCTTGGTTCATGAATACGGGTTGGCCTCTTTTAGTTCTTTTTTGGTGACAACCTCCTTTTGGTAGGACGGGTTTATTCATCTGGGGTTCCCATTGTGGGAGGGCTTAGGGCTGCATACCTGAGATCCGAAGCGAAATGCAGGGAGGTCGCGCCCACTTGCCACTGCCTTCATGTCTGCCCAGGCGCCAACAGGTCGCCCAACAGCACCTCCCGTTGTTCACCCGGCATGTGCCTGCTGCAGGCGTCCTCAGCGAATCAACGAAACACACCACGCAATCACACCTGGAAGGTGCAGACAAGCTGGTGGTATATGTATATGTTTACTTAGGGTCGTTCTGCTGAAAAATGTGTTCAGCCGTGGCGGGGGGGGGGGGAGCTCGGCATACGTTAATATGTATATATATATATATACATATGTTAGTCTTCACGCACGCTTTCCTTCACACGTCGCAGATCTGCTCAAGGCTCTGTAGACATGGTGAGATCCTTTGCGCAAACTCCAAGACACGACCAAGCTAAAGCACTTCTTCGACTTGATAGGCCCGATGACCCTCAATATGCCGCTTTGCAAGCTCAGGTCAAGCGCTTCTCTGACCTGCCAGGGCGCTGTGTAAGCTTGAACTTGCTGTTTGTTTGCTTCCCTTCATCCTCCATACCTTCCCCAGGCCAGAAACATGAGGCAGACAGTAAGACCTATAACGTGAAGTAGAGGTCTGTTGCAACAAAACAGTCTGTATACATAGATGTATATGCCTTATGATCAACTTCGCGTGGGGGCAGGGGGATGGGGGTATGAGCGCATAGATGTATTGCACACATATACATATATGTATGAGAAGTAAGCACATATCAACCAGGCATACATAAGTACATGGCTAAGTTGAAGCAACTTCTATGCTTTGCAGGAATGCAATCCCCTCGTAGCGAGCAAGTAACAGATGTTCAACTTTTTGCGTGGTCAAAAGCTCAGCTCAAACATGGGGCCGGAATCCTAGCCACACCTTGTTTTGACCCAAGAGAACAAGACTGTTCTAGTCTCTCGGTTTTGGCGGTTGGCGAAGGCACCGCAAAAAAACGCAAACGAGTTCCATGGCCGCAAAAATGTTGCCGAGAGAAGCGGACTTGAGGCGCCGCTCGCTTGTTTTGTAGCATTGACAAAGCAGAAGCACACGTTCAGCGTCATTCTCATCATGTGCGCTTCAACAAATATCGCCAGAACGCAAGGCCAGTTCACAAGTGTGCGCGTGTGTCTCTGTGTGTGTGTGTGGCGTTTTGTCAGCTCGCGCGCAAGCCGCAACAAAAATCGGGGATTTCAGTAGAAAATGTCAAAGGACATCAAGACGTATCTACATCTCAAGGAAACAGCATTTGTACGAAGCCTTCATCAGTTGTGAACGCAGCGATGCAACCTCGTCCTGTAAATTGCGAGAATATAGTCTTGGTGTCCTCTTTGATGTGTTGATGAAGTTAGTTTGTGCTTACGTGACAACCTCTGGCGCCAAAGAGGTCTACTACTTATGGTTTGCTTGTCTTGCGCCACAGGTTTCCTCACTCCCAGGGCCCCAGGCCACACATTGACCCAAGTTGACAAACCAAGAAGTCAAACCTCAGTCGCTTTGAGGAAATCACTGCTCCGATTGACATGGAACCCACAGAAAGCGTTCATTTCCTGGCAGCCCTGGGCGTTTTTCCGGGGTGAATGTCAGTTTACCTTGTCCCCCGCTTGCGGAATCAAACGAACAAGTTGGTCAACACAAATGGGTGTCGTTTTGAAGGGCACCGATTTCCTTTTGCTTTCCCTTCAAAACCACCAAAAGCGGGGCGTGCGATCCAAAAAGACAGACCCAACTCCGTTGGACAACATCCCAGCCGCACCCTCCGTTCTCAGGTCCCCACCGAGACCAAGAGTGCCAGGACCATGGCTTGCGCCACCTCGTCCTCCGCGGTTCGGGAGGCCCAGGTTTCTCAGCTTCCCCCGAATTGGTTCAGTTTTGTGGTTTTGTGGCTTGGTGGTGTGCTGGTTGGACATAACCTTAAAGCTACCAGATTTAGCGCGCGGATTCTCGAAATCGGCAACACATGATTTGCTTGACGGGCGCCAGCTAGTATCCTTGGGATCTGTGCCGGGCTGCGCTTTGGCTTCCTGGATGGAATGTGTTCAGAGGAAAACCAACTTCGATAGGAGCAAAGAGTAGTTTTCAATCAGAAGCCACATGAGCAAACACAAGCAGTCTAAGAATCGCAATTCACGTTCAATTTCAGAAGGGGAAAAAACATCAACACATCCCTCCGGGAACTTCAAATTCAACACCAAAACAGACTCACGGGGATTTCTTTTGCATCCGAACATCTTGGATGAAGTCTAGAGAACACGTCCAATCCAGGCTAAGGACACTGATACCACAGATGGAGACGTCCTTGGCCTTGCGCAGCTTCTTGCGGCATCGTTCTAGGAAGCTCTCCTGGGCAAGGGCTGGGGCCAAAAGAATGAACAAGTGCCTTCAGCTTTCCACTGATGCGCCGTTTGGATTGGTCGTTTCGCGGTTAGGGGGTGGTTTCCCACTGACAAATTTCTTTGTTTGAAAGAGGTCCAGGTGAATGACTCCCAAAGAATGACTCTGCCTTGTGTAGTCAACCCCTTGCATATGGGGAACCGTCTAGATGAAACGAAGGGGCTTCTTCTGACAGCAAGCTTCAACCATGCGGCCGGGCCACGCAAAAAGCGCGCGGGCAAGGAACAACCACTGCCGTCCTGTAGGTTGAGGGGAAAGAACAACCAACCGCAACAACAGGGGAAACAACCAGGGTAGGAGGGTCTCCAACTGACATTACTTCCAAAGTCGGAAAGGGTTCCGGGCTCAGGAAAGGCTTATTCGCTGGACAAAGGTCCAATCGAATCGCCAAGTTGCTAGCGCCTTGTCCCGAGACCGGTCCACGATGACACCTGAGCGACCCAAACCCTAGCTGACTTGTTGCTCTAAGATGGGGTTACTCTGATACAGTCAACGTTGTTTTTCTTCTACTAAGATGTTCTATGTATATCTATCATTATCTATCGATCTATCTATATATAAATATGGATATTGAGGTTTATGCGGGCCTTACTAAATCCCTGTGACGCCAGGTGGTAAACCTACTCCACACATTCGCAAGCGAGATCGAAGAGTTAGGGGTTGTTGGCTGCAGCCTTTGGGTCTCTTGATGCTGCATCCCCCTGACCTTGAAAAGGAGAAGCGTGTGGGGGGGGGGGGGAGGGCGGGGAATTTCTTTCCTTACCGAAGGGAAATGGTTGGATTCCAGAATTTCTAAGCCGCTAAATTCGAGGGGCGAAGGGGAAGGGGGAGGCAACGGGAAGCCTGCTGGCACCCTTGGGTAGAACTTTCTAGCCTCGATGTGTCCAACTCAAACGAACACTCGGATGAATCTGCCTTAAAATTCTCACAAAGCCTATCCTGAAACAAGCAATGGGGACACATCAGTTGCGCTGTTGGCAAGGGAATGAGCCAAAGCTCCGTAAATCAGCGACGCCATTCTCCCATTGCATTCCTACTGAGACATGGAAGTCGCTGTTATGGCTTTAGCAAGGTACCAACGGGAAAAAAAAGAGTGGGAAAAAAAACATGAAAGCTCCACGATGGACTTTCTGTGCTCTGGGTGGATTCCCGACACACCGATCACATGACAAGGCAACAAGCCTACGGGTCACTTTAGGCCTTTGGGGCACAGAGTTAGCGCAGACATATCGAAGGGCCTCCGCCAGCAATTCACACAGAAGTGCATGCGGTTTTCGGAACTTGGTTGAAGCCCTTGTCCCAAATCGGACTCAACAAGGCTTTATTATGGGCTTGTTTGCAGCGCATTGCTTGCTTAAGAGGACAACAGTGAACAAACATCTTTGGACGGCCGCTTTCCCCAACTTTCAGTTGGAGCCCAGAAGGGATTCGAATCCAAGCCGAGGTTTAACCCTCAGGTGCGTTTTACCATAGGCCAACTTGTTCAAACCGGTTAGCACATTCAGTCAATTTAACGCGAGCTTATTCTCGGACGGAATATGGGGAAAGTCCAAACGGATCATCCCAAAGGGTAGGCCATAGGCCCCGATGGTCTAAGCACCCGTAAGGGTCATCCCAGATTAACCTGGCGAATGTCTGGACGAATGTCTGGACGAAACTGGGACAGCGAGTTGTTGGTTGCACGCTCACGAGCACCATTTCGTTCCGAGCAGCACATGTCAGGCAACTCATCCCTGTAGCCGTCCTGGCTCGATATACCAGATCCGTTACAGAGATCATTTTGGAAAAGCCAAGTGGGTGTTTCCTAACTGCGGGAACACCCGAGGGCTGATCCCTGATTCACCTCAACAGCCAGGAAGTGGCTAAACATGTTGGCCTGGCCCGACCTAGTTTGGATGTTCTTTTTGTGACATTCGACCAACTCGGCAAGGGATGCACCTACGTCGATCCTCAACTTCACCAAGACAGTTCATTGACGATTGCCTCCGAACCAGCCAACGGAAAGATCCTCAAGCAGAAGCCTCCACCCTGATTGGTGGCCCCGTTGTTGGAGAGACAGCAAGGTGTTCGAGTCACAAAGGGCCTGGAAGGATGACAGCCAATGACAGCTGACTGGAAACCATGTAAAGTGGTACAGAGTCGAAAGGCTAGCTTTTTGCACCTGTTTGTGACTTCAACTGTCCCCGACGCAACTTCAACGAGCCAGGTTTTGTGGCTCTAAACTTATAAACCTGAAGGGAAGCAGGGAGTTGCGGTGTTTGAAGACAGGATCCCCCTACCTCAGGCTGCGTTCTCTTGCCTCAACGTGCTGGCGCACATCCAGCTTGCACGACGCGCTCATGGCTCATCCCATGGCCAGTTTGAGCCGATGCAAACCAGCTGTCAAGGGCATGTTCAGGTGTGGGTTCTGGAGGTATGGAAGGTTATAGCCCCGTGCTTCCAGAAGCCATACCCTCGAAATGCAAATGAAGTTGCAATTATAACGTACCCGGTGAGCTTTGTTCCTAATTAACTCCCAGTTTTCACCTGGTCCCCCTTGACAAAATAGCTGGTGGCCTAGGTACACAACTTACAGACTCATGGTCGTGTCTAGCAAGCAGGGACCCAGGTAAGGGCTGCAGGAACCACGCTTGATAAGCTTCCTATGACACGGCAGCTGAGTCCCTTCTTCTTGGCCCTTGCAGTGCTTCCACTGATGCGCATGAGGCTCCCACTTCGTCTCCCTTTTTTCCCTGGTTGCCTACCAGTTGCGCGCCTCGGCCTTGACGTAATAGAAAGTGATCAGGCCCAGGGACACGGCCTGGCCGAAGGCTTCCAAACAAACTGCTGATGTTTCTGGCCAATACATAAAAACACCCCTGAGGCCAACCAAACGTGCTGTGTTTGCCGTTGAGCCAAAGAAGAACAATAAAACATCGCCTCAGTAGCATTGACTTCTGCGCGGCCTCTTTGGTTTCGACCCGCGTCGCCAAACTTCCAATCCAAAAAACTGAGAACCGACAAACTGGCACCCTTGGACGCCCCCCAAACCCGTACCCGCGTGTTAAAACCTCCTAAGCCTTTGTGGACGTGCTCCGGCACCGCCAGCAACGGCCCCACGGACGTGAAGACTTCAGGAACGTCTGACAATTGAAATTTTGCCCCCGATGTTCCGAACCCAGAGCGGACTACACATCAAGGCAATTTGGAGGAACCTCAGGCACTTAAGACAGCAAGGGTGGCAGAGTTGTGGCCTTGGAGTTACAAAACCATGCCTTGGCACGTAATTTCCAAAACAGTTCCCCGAAACAAGAGAAAAGTGAAGCATCGCCGGGCACACCACCAAGCTGCACCACTGCTGCAATAGATACCTGCACAGCCGAAACAGGGAGAGCTTCCGAGCAGAACTTGCAAGGTCAGTCTCTGGGCTCGAAAAATCGAAAAAATGTGACTCGTGTTTCGCTTGGAAAGGCCCAGCAGCGCTTAGAAAGGGAACTGGAAATCGAGGGTGATCCACCACGACCAAAAACTAGGCTCCAAAAAATGGTGGACCCACCACATGAATGTTTTCTTGGGTTCCCTTTAAACCACCTTTTTAACAAAAGGGACGCATCCAAATAGAGCTAACAGCCAGGTGGACTGAGGCCTGCCAAGTAGCCATAAGTGAAACGGCTGGAAAGGGGATCAAGTTTCAATAGTTCATGTAATTTGTCCTTCCTCTTCAGCAACCAACTTCGGTGCAAAAACACGGAAGAACGCCATTAATAGTTGAACTCACCAAAACATCAAGTAAAAGTGAAGATAAAGGGGCATCAGGCATGCGACGCAGGATGCAAGGCAGCGCACGATCTTTTTCTTCGAGCCAAATGTAATGCCAAAAACGTGTTGCTTGAAAGGCATGTTCAACAACGATTTCTTGTACCAACAACGCATTTAGGAAACAGCACTGTGAAGAGGAAGTTACATGAAGGGCTGTGGTGCAACCCCCATGCAATTCAACTCCCCCCTCTTGCTTTACACAATGCGGAGGTAGACCGGGCAAGTCCTTTTTGACAATGACTACCACGTCCGAATTCATGAGATGATGAACTCATGATGAGGTGCACCAGAGATTCAATCACCGCTGCTGCACACGGCTTGGACGACCATCCTTTCAAGTGGAAAGCCTCGACAACATTGAAGTCATGAAGTCCAAGAGTTGCACCTTGAGGAGCCGAAGCTATCAACCCAAGATACTACCACTTATTATCAATACCTATGCCGAAGCAAAAGGCAAGACTGACACACGAGGAACAGGCGCAGAAGCAGCCAAGGTTCCCATGCAAGAGGAAACTGTTGTTCCTATGCTTCATTTTTTGCAACACACATATATACTAATTATGAGCCATGATGGAGCATTTTACAAGTCCCCTTTTCATGCCTGTTTGGATCTGTTTCTCAACGCAAAAAGGGCACTTTCCCAATTTGAATACTGTCACACTCACTCGACCCCAAAGAGAGACGAGGCAGCGCTAACCCGACTAGAACTCGCTCATTTCCAGCATCAGCAATGACTGCTTACACATCACTCCGATATCCTTAGATGCAAATGCACATGAGAAGAACGGGGCAGCGTCGAAGCGGCTAGAACCCATACAATGCCATACAAGCAAATGAATAGAAGTCTGGACAAAGCAAGTGATGGATTCGGTGAGCCCAAGCTCAAAGAGGTCGCGTGTGGCGTGTGGAGGACCAAGACCTTTCGTCAGGATATCACTTTTCTGATTATCAGTGCCAATGTACTCAATCTGAAACTGAGAGTCACGAAACATTTCACTCACAGATGCAACGTTGATCTTGTGAGTCTTTGGCAAGTGCCGGATTTTACTGGAATACCCCTTCTTGATGATTGCCAAGACAGCTTGGTTGTCCTCATAACATGTAACCGTTAAAGGTCTCCTAGAACAGTTTCCCATGCTGACTGAAGAGAAGAGGGATGCGTTCAAAGCAAACGGCCGTTGCAAGGGCAACCGCTTCTGATTCCGTGGTAGACAGGCTCACAACGCTTTGCTTCTTGCTAACCCAAACCAACGGGAAAGACTGATCAGCCTCAAGGGCTATGAAGAAACCTGAGCAGCTCTTGGCTGTTTCATTGCAATCGCCAAAACTTGCATCAACATAACAGGATAGTCTCAATTCCGATGCCTGATTATGCATGAAGGACAGGCTGGCGTAGTTGGTGGTCACGGAAAGATATCCGATCAATCTAGCCAATCGCCGGTCATCAGCTCTTGTCCAACATGTTACATGCGAACCCAAGGCATTAACCGCGACTTGAATGTCTGGTCGGCATAACCTGGCTAGCCAAGGCAATTTCATGATGATGCGAGCTGCTGTGGCATGAAGTTCCCCCTTGATAAGGAAATATCAAGATGAGGTGTCTTGGCACTTCGAACTGGCATGGAAGGGAGCTCTTGGTGTTGCTCCACACAGGATTGGGCAAACTCGGTTGCTTGCATAGCGAGAGCTTTTCGACCATCGAAGGCAGTCTCAAGATGCGCACGCCCAAGGACAATCGTCAAGGCTAGCGGCACCTCAAGTTTGATCCGAGCCCCAAGCTCATCCCCAAATAGGGTGTGGGCCGAAGCAAGTTCACCCAATGTAAAGTCGTCTACATATACCGAATGGCACCGTTGCGCTGAAGAAAAGTAGAAACACGACTTGAGCGAATCAAACTCAACCCCTCCCATTGCCCGCAGCACAGCACCAGCGTGCCGAAACCAGTGGGCCAAGCTTTCGGGATGCCCATAGAGGGACTTTACCAGCTTCTCTTGTGGGACGGGAACTGGCCGTAACCGATCACGAAATTGAGCCAGGCGATCAAGGATGGCGCTGAAGCAGCCAGGTCCTGAAAGACGGCGCTCAACCCGTTCTGATCAGACACGGCGTCCCCGCAGAACACTATCCGGGTCTTTAGCTTCCATTTGGATGGGTCCCGCTCGAAGCCTTTCACCGACACTACTGCCATAATGGATCCTACGTGGGCTGTGAGTTTCTCACGGTTGGCCCATGCGATCAAAGCATATTGTTCCATGATTGATGAGTCGCCCCAAGCGCCCTCTTGAAGGAGACCTCCTTTCTCAGATTGGATCGCCTCCATTGCGGCTTGATTGCCGACCCAGTGCTTTCGATCAATGAGCTTATGAACTCCAGCATGCAGAGGCAACGACTTGGCGCCTAGTTCATACATTGCTAAGCCGATCGGAATGCATGGTACTGCCGGCGAAAGTCTATGAGGGTGACCCTCAGCGAGAACACAAGGCATTGATGGGACATGTTTCCAAGTGACATGCGGAAAGAACGACTTGATAATCATGCGGGCCATGGGCTGAGGATAGCACGCAGTGGTGGTTGTCACAGCCCCTGCAGCGTGTTTGCGCATGGATGAATGGTGGTTGCACTGAAACACAGCAGCTCGTTAGCAAGTCTGGCCAAACTGCTGACAATTCGCGAAGGTCTGTGAACCAATTGCCCATCATGGACCAAGCCAAGCATATGTAACAGAGTACAACTGCTGGCGGAGGATCCCTTCAGTCAACTCAGGAAAACTCCATCCTGCACAATACCTGGGCCACTCGAAAGAAGCATGGCCACCACCTGCAATGCAGAGTCAGCGGCACGAATGAAGTCCTTGACCATCCGTCTGGAATTCTTGCGGGACTTCAAGAGCTTCTGCTTCAAGTGTGGGTTTTTGAACAACTGACCAAAAGGAGCACTCTATGGAACCATGAATAGAACACGAAGGAAGAACACTAATCTGTTTTATCAACTGCATTATGGAATTGGACTTGTTCAAATCAATCACATCCTTGGACAATCTGAAGTACTCAAGATCATTGGCGCCTTCGCTAGCAAGCGGATCCCGGGTGGAAAGACAGACACAGACTCTGATTCATCATGAGCCTCAGCATGAAATGATTGATGACTGGAAGATGAGGCATCGCCAAGAGCTATTGGGATCGCTACTCAGAGCTGATTCATGGGTACCATTTCCTCTGACTGAACATTGTTCTGACGGTGAGGAGTATTGGTCATTGGCGCTGAGTCGTACGGCCGCAATGACCGAGAATCTGACCTAGACCTATGGCACCTGGAACGGCTCCTGCGAGAGACCTTGATCTAGAGCCTGACGACGCTTGCAAAGACTCTGTTCTGTCAGGCGATGATTTTTCTACATTGCTGGCATGCATTCTGAATGGCAAATGATGGGGATGAATATGCAAATGATCATGCACCTGCCGGGATCGCACACAGGCTGCTGTTACACACACTCGGCAGTTGCTGGTCTCCACAAATGGCGGAATCACCGACGAAGATTCCTCG